CAGATCTACCAGGCTTTCACTGCCAGTGGTTTCGAAGGATACATCACTGGTTCGATTATCTGCCCGCCAGAATCCTCAGATTCGACCTCAACCAATACAAACTACAAACTCTGGAAGCTCATGGATCAAAATCTCATCTCAGCTCTCTTCTCCACGATCTCACCTTAGTCCCCCCCTATATTCTGCATCTCAACACATCCCACAAAATCTGGACAGCTCTGGAGCTAAGGCTGCAGCCCACCAACAAATCACGCATCATACAGCTGAAAAATGAACTTCACAATGTTCAAATGAGGGATTAGACAATCTCTCAATATCTGGGCAAAGTGAAATATCTTGTAGATAACATTGCTGCCGCAGAAGGTTATATCAATACTGAAGATATAATCCTTTATACTCTCAAAGGTTTGCCACCCTAGCTCGTACAACCCTTTCAAAGCAACCATCAGGATCTCTCCACTACCTATCACTCTTGAATCTTTGTACTCACTTCTCTGCAGTGAAGAAATCAATTTGCAAACAGAGATTCAACAGGATACAACGACCACACCTGAGCTTCAAGCTTTATATTCATCACGAGGATGCGAGCGTAACTCTAAATACATAGGAAATCGAGGAAGAGGAGCTTCCTTCCGTCCGTCTACCACATCAGCCAAACCTACTGCCATCCCACCCCGAAATGCTGATAGACTGATATGCTAAATCTGAGGTAAACCAGGCCATCTAGCCTTAGCCTGCTGGCATCGATACAACTCCAACTATACACCGCAAGCTCCACCAAACCGTGCTCTTCTCACTCAGATACAACCCAGTAACACCACAGACTGGGTACTCGACTCTGGTGCCTCCACACACCTCACACCAGACATTGCAAATCTACAACATTCTCTCTCGTACCAGGGAACAGACTCAATCTTTACAGCAAGTGGATATTCTCTTCCCATTCATCACATAGGTGCTGTCCTTCTACCACTTCCAGACTCCACTCGTAAGCTTAAACTCCAAAACCTTCTCCATGTTCCATCTCTTGCTCATAACCTACTATCCATTTCCAAACTAACAAAAGATAACAATTGCTCCATATCTTTCGACTCTAATGGTTTCACTCTCAAGGATCTTCAGGACAACAAAATTCTGCTCCATGGCCATAATCGAGAAGGAATCTACCCAATTCGCCTTCTACATCAAGCTCCCGTCCATGCTCTCAGCATCACACAAGACTCCACTGCTCTCTGGCATGCACGTTTGGGTCATCCACATCACCGCTCGATGACCAATCTATCTAGGCTTCTACCAGCTAACAGTTTTAAGTTTTTACCATTTACCTGCACTTCCTGTAAAGTGGCCAAGAGCCACAAGCTTTCTTTTCCAAAGGAAGCAACTCATGTAATTACTCCGTTCAGTTTAATACACACCGACGTCTGGGGACCTTCTCCCCTTCCCTCTCTCTCTGGCTATCGATATTATATACTGTTCATAGACGATTACACGTGTTTTTGCTAGTTATACCTAATGCATTCAAAAAATGAATCAAGCATCAAATTTCAACACTTCTATAATCTTATAAAAACTCAGTTCACAACTTCTATAAAAACATTACGCTCCGATGGTGGCGGCGAATTCACCGGACATGAACTTCAAAATTTTCTCTCAAAATAGGGCATACACCATGAGCTCAGCTGCCCCTATACACCCGAGCAAAATGGCGTATCTGAAAGGAAACACCGGCACCTCTTAGAAACTGCACGAACACTCCTACACACAGTGAACTTGCCCTTCACCTTCTGGGTTGAGGCAGTTCAAACATCCAACTTTCTAATTAATCGACTTCCCACCTCATCTTTGCACTATCAAATATCGTTCCAGCTTCTGCATGGTAATCCTCTATCCTTTGCCCACCTCAAAGTTTTTGGCTGTTCATGCTTTCCCTAGCTGAAGCCTCAAATGTCACACAAGCTGGCCCCCCAATCCACACAATGTATCTTCCTCAGCTATTCAAACTCTCACAAAGGTTATCGCTGTTACGACCCTCACAACCGAAAACTTCATATCTCCCGACACGTCACCTTCAACGAACAACATTTTCCATATACAATGCCACCCACCTCTCAAGCTCCTTTCTCACCAGCGCCCATTCCTCCTCTGCTTCTCATTCCTACGTCCACATACACAACCCCTTCAAAACTACAAGCTCACAATTCCCCCACAATCTCCTCTCACACTCCTACTTTACTTTCCCACTCACCTTTCACACTCCCCCCACACACATCTAACAATTCCGCTCTTCCCACTCAAATTTTAAATTCACCCGCTTCTGCCCCGAAACATCATATGCAGACTCGCCTTCATACCGGACATCTCAAACTGAAAAAAATCTTTGATTTACTTGCTGTAAGAGATATTGTTCCAACTCCCTCATGCTATACCGAAGCCACTAAGTTCCCTCACTGGCGCAAAGCAATGTCAACAGAATTTATGGCTCTACAAAATCAAGGTACCTGGCCTCTCATCCCTCCTCCTAAACACACACCAGTTCTTGGTTGTCAACGGACATACAAGACGAAGCTCAACAAAGATGGCACCGTCAATCGCTACAAAGCAAGGCTTGTAGCCCAAGGATACTATCAAAAATAGGGTATCAATTATCAACATACTTTAGCCCTGTGGCTAAGAAGCCGACCATTCGAGTGCTGCTCATTATTTCTCTTCACCGAGGCTGGCCGATCCATCAACTAGACATCAACAATGCCTTTCTACATGGAGATCTTCAAGATGAAGTCTACATGAAGCAACCTCAAGGCTTCATTGATCCCACACATCCGTATTATGTGTGCAAACTACAAAAAGCACTCTATGGCCTCAAGCAGGCACCTCGCCAGTGGTTTCACAAACTGACGACCTTTTTACTAGCTTTCAGCTTCCACTTCAGCAAGGCAGATCCCTCTATCTGCTCACCAAAGCTCTATAAAACACTTGTATTATCCACCAAATGCATTAATGGAAAACTAATATTATTTCCACCAATATCTTCTTCCTCTTCCTCTATTTTCTCTATTACTGCTCTACAGGTCCTCTCAGGCATTTCTTCAGGGAGATCAAGGCAAGCATTGGGTAGATTCTTTTAGATTCGATTGATTAGGGGCACTAGCCAACTTTGTGTGAGGAATTAATATTTTTATTCATTCTATTTTACTTGTTTGGAAAGTGAGGATGTACCATTAGTGCCTCCACTGAAGGTCCGCCATTGATCCACTTCCATGATCAATTTCACATCCTCACTTCCATTCTTGCTTTCATTAGAATAGACTACAAGATTTGATATCTTGATGTTATAATTGGTGGTGGGGATGAATAGTGTTTTGGTAATTGATGGCCAATTATGGTTGATAATGATGTGTGACGACTAGTGGATGATGGTTGGCAATGATAGTTTTTTTAAGCATTCAAAAACACCTAAAGTTATTTTATTTTTATAAAAAACTTAATTTGTTTTAAAATAAAATATGAAAAATATTTAAAAAAAGCACCAAATAAGCACATGTTTAAAAAAAAATATAGAAATATAAATATGAAGAAAAAACACAGGTTTCTTAAACAAATTCTCAACATGTTTTTTTCATTAACGACCAAAGATCAACTATTTAAAATATGTAGAAATGCTTATTAAATACGGAAACCATTCTTTATACACATTCTAATTCAATGTAAAAAGATAAATAAACTAAATAATAAATAAACTAAAAAAAAATGTAAGAAGATTAATAGAAGAAAGAAATAAAAAAGGCAAATCTTTTCTGGCATCAAATAAATCATGCATTGTATAATGAACTAAGAATAAAATGCTACATTACATTACATTGCACACATTCTTTGGTAATAGAAATACATAGATGCGCCGATAGGCTTTACAAATCAGTAGACTTTTTCTAAGGACTGGATCGAAATAATAATCCTTGGTTTTGTTAAGAACATTACGATCTGATTTAATTATTAATGACTTCATAGCCCAATATACCATCTCTTTCGATCCAGTTCTTGACAACTTTGATTTTATTATTATCTGGTGTATTATGCAAGCTATTTATAAGCTCATTAGGCACTTCATCTAGTACCAACTCTCTCAGTGACGGGAGATTCTCCATGCCTTGCACAATCTTTAATTCTACGCAATTTCCTAAGAATAGATAAAACAACTTTGGCATGGCACCCCTTCTTATCTCGATGTTGTTTAGTTTATTTAGTTGAATTAGTTTGAATACGAGAAGTTTTGGAAACCAGCATTCTTGCAAGCATAACCTTTGCCCCACATAGGCATCATCATAGAGGCCCAGAAACAAAAGATTAGGTAATGGACCAAGAACTTGAAGCGAATCTTCTGAAAGACAAGAACCATATAAAACAATAGTCTTGAGCTGGACAAGTCCTGAAAACCACTGTGGCAGTCTACCCTTTGCAAATATACCATGCAAGTTGAGCCTCTGAAGATAGGGTGGTAGAGAAGGGAAGGCTTCCCAATTGAAAATAGCTGAATTCGGTCTTGCATCGACTTCCAATTTCATAAGTCTCTCCATTTTAGAAAGAGCAACAAATAATTCCTCACTTTGTGATTCTGTCACCCATCCAATTTTTAATGATCTCAACTCAGCCAAATTCCCAATGTGCTTTACAATTTCATCATTTGCGGCTAAATATTTGATGGTTTGTAAATACGCAAGGTCACAAATCTTTCTTGGAGCCATCACTGGATGAAATTTGGCTTTATTACCTGAAACTATTGAATATTTCCCAGCTGAAATGTGTCTCAAATGTTTTAGTTTTGCCACAGTTGAAGGCAGATTCTGCACATTTGTCTTCCAAATATCAAGAGTCTGTAGGTTTTGTAAGATTCCCAAGGATTTGGAAATTTTTTTAATCTTAGTGCCACGTAAGCCGAGGTAATGAAGGTTGAACAGTTGGTAGATTTCATTTGGTAATTTTTCTATTGGAGCAAAACTCATATCTTACACCTTCAAAAGCCTGAAGCTAGAGAAGGAATTTTGCAGCGTGAGGTTACTGAATGAAGCTTTGGGATCAAACACAACAATTGATCTGAGATGGTGAGAAGTTTCTAGTCGTAGATCACTTGCACTTTTTGATATAGCAAGTCGCTGAATATCCCCACTCAATTCACCGCCAAGATACATCTCACAAAAATTATCTTCCCTAGATTTCGTCAAAAGGAAGTCTCTTATAAGATCATGAATGTTGTATCGTGATATTGTTCCATGGACAGTTATACGATGGATCTGAAACATGCATCTATGAGTAAGTTCATTAAGATATTCCTCGGCCACCTCCTCCAATGACTTGCTTCCTTGTTTCTGAACAAACCCTTCTGCTACCCATAGCCTTATGAGCTTTTTTGTTTGGATCTTGTGACCTTCTGGAAAGATACTACAATATAGGAGACAACTCTTGAGATAAACTGGAAGATCATTGAAGCTTATCCTAAATATATTGTACACATTACGGAGATCAGTCGATCCAATGTTTAGGCCATCATATATCCTTTTCCACAATATCATGTCCTTGTCTTTAACTGATAATAATCTTCCAATGCACACTATAGCTAATGGTAGGCCTTCACACTTGTGCAAAAATTTTTGTGTCAGCTCTTCTAAATCGTGAGGATATTTTATGGCACCTTCCCCAAACACCATACGACAAAATAACCTCTGAGCTTCATCTTTCTGTAGAGGCTCAAGTTCAATTATATGAGATTTGCAAGCTGCATTTATTGCAACATCATAGACCCTTGTTGTTATAATTATTCTACTTCCAAGCTTACAATCCGGAAAGGCATTCTTGAGATATGTCCATACTTCAGTGCTCCAAATATCATCTAGTACGATGAGATACCTTTTTTGGTGCAAAAAACCTTGAAGAATTTGTACCAGATGCCGGTAGTCATTGGTGTTGAATGATTGTGGAATTGCTTCCATCTTACCTTCATATAGGTCTAGGATGATATTTCTAAGTAAAGCATTGATATTACATGTCTGGGTAACTGAGATCCATGCAAAGCTGCAAAAGCGACAATTTTTCTTCTGCCTATTATACACATTCGTAGCAAGTGTGGTCTTACCAACGCCGGCCATGCCCCAAACTGCTATAACATATTGGCTAGTTTCGTTATCGACTAACCAATTCTCTATTACATTTCTATTTTCCTCAATACCGATGATATCATTTTCCAACATGAAATGCGAGGATTCTGCAAAACGCCTAATTTTTCCATTATTATTGCTCGAGTTGTCTCCTATGGTCATTCTTTTGCTTGGGAAGATACCAAATTGGTTCTTCATATTCGTAAGGTTATTAAGCATTGTTTCTATGTTTTGTAGATGGTTAGCAGCTCGGTACCAAGTTATAGCATCTCTTAAAATATGAATGACATTGTAGAAAAGGCCTTTGAAATCTTTTCGATGTCTTTCTCTTGTTAAATAAGAGTACTCATCGACTATATCTTCCACCTCATATGCTACATCAATTACTTGTTTCCTCCAAGCAGCAACTGCATGATTATAGTCTTTCATTTCATCTATATCTTTTAGAGAGCCGGACATTACTGAAAATATACTCTTTATATGCTCGAGCCTACTATGAACTTCTGATAAAGGTGATTTTAGGGAGGAAATCTTTGTCCATGCAGTTACTACAATGGTAGAAGTAATATTTTCTATAATAGATAAGACAATGGCTTCAGCCATTGAATGCTTAATTTTCCTTATGGTTGGGAAATGTTGTGTTTTCTGCTAGAATTAGACAACAAAAAAATAAATATTAGAAGATAGAAGAAAATATTTCAAACTACACAAAAGTTATTTTCTTTCAATATTTTAGATATCGGTCTTCTAAAAACTTAAAATTTATTGTTGGGTTGAAAATTTTTCTAATTTGTAAGGAAATTCCAACCACAACATCAATAATTAATAAAATATGAAACAATTGAACATTTTCATGTTATTCAAATATCATAATTGATCTTGAAATAAATAAATATTATTTTTTAAGTCCAAAGAGATTTGATAAGATGTAGAAAAGGCTGCGTTGAATCTCAAGTTGAAGCAACAATATCATTGACCTAAAGGTACTCCTTCAAGGAATGTCCAAAGAAAAAGGTGTTGCTCTTAAATAGTCAGCCAAGCCTTCGATGAAGTTAACTTTTAGAAAATGGTGCAATAAAGATAAAGAATATTTGGCTTGAAACACTACATTCTAAATTTGATGCACAACAAATGAAAGACCTAGAGATTTCGATGTATTATCTTACACAAGTCACTAAAGGAAAGGCAAACTAAATTCAAATTTCCCAAATCTCAAAGACACAAGCCACCACGGGTTGCCTTTCCTTTAGTTTTTTAAAAAAGATATTGACTCCCTTGTAGTGCCATTTGAATTTACATTGATTGGTACAGTTACCACTCACAGGGCTAAACTAGACTCTATTCATATTTTTTCTTTAATTGGAAGCTTGGTGGTGATTTTTTTTGTTATAGTTCTAGATCCTAGGCATGTTTTGATCAGACTGTCCAATGATACAGACTGAAATAGAGTTTTTGCTCATATATATAATTATGCTAAAAACTATTTTATGAAATTGATTAGATGGTTACCACTTTTTAATATTTTGTAAAATCCGCAATCATCCCTATTTGGGTTCATTCCATGATCTTCGTCCCCATTTGTTTTATCATAGGATTTTGTATGGTTTGGGTTATTTATTTGGTCGCCATCTTAAAATTGATAATGCTAAAACTAATGGGTTTTTACAATTTGTTGCTTGTGTTCTGATAGAATTAGACATTACAAAGTACTATCCGAATAGTGTTTAGCTTGGGCAAGAAAAATTTTGGTATATTCAAAATGTTGTGATGGGGTATTTTTCATTATTTTGTGAGCATTGTAATACTCTTGGTCATCAAAAAGATGATTATTTTTTCCTTCACCCTCATTTAAAAAAAAAGATTCTTTATGATAAATCAGTGGTTGATGCTATGAAGGAGAATATTTCTTGAGCCCCTCCACTTCATAACTTTTTTATTTTCAATATTCCTTTTGTTGAGCAAAACACTGCACCTAAGGAGGTTAATGAAAGAAATCATTCTCTAACCTTTCCTAAAAGAATCCTAATGGAAGTGCAACTAATTTTAACAATATTTTAGTAACTTATGCTTTAATTAATGTGTTCAACCCCCTGATACTTCTATCAAGGATCCTAAGGGAAGTATGGTCGGTCATATCCTTTTGGAATTGATGTTAACATTAATTTTAATATGTATGTTATCCCTTTTCAAAATACTAACTCTATTTCTTGGGATAAACTCTTAGGTACTATTGACGTTTTTAATCTAGTACCTATTATTACTATCCCCAAAGCTCATTCATGTGACCTTCAGCCTGGAGAGAAATAGGTGGGTTTTTCTCCCTTTACTAAAATGAATTCAAATTGGGAGGAAGGGGAAATCAAGTCCTCGATCGGAGTAACTTTAATTCAATGAAAAGTTGAATGATGTTCATTCCAATGGTTTACATGTATCACTTGATGATTTCAAGATTGTTATAAAAAGAAAAATTAAAAAAATATATATTTTGATGACTACTACTTTAAGAGTTACTAAATCTCAAGCTTCTGGAAAGACTAATTTTTATGATTAGTTCTATTTTTTGGAATATTAGAGGCACTGGTAAACAACATATTCTCATTATCATTTACATAATTTATGTAGATCTCACACTTATTCTTTCTTACATGTTCACCAAATTGTTACTTTGTCAAAGGCAATTGGTTTTAGAGTATTCCTATGTTAACACTTCATGTAAAATTTAGTTATTTTGGAAAGATTCTTTAAAGCTTTCTATTATAGGAGATTTTAACTAAGTTTTACCATGTAATTTTTTTGTTTTTAATATTTTTGATATGGTTCTATTGTTTATGCTAAATGATCTAAAACTAAGATTGAACTTGTGGTAGAGAGTAGAGGATTTTTGCATTTTTATAACTATCCTTGGTTTGTTGGAGGGGATTTTTGCATTATTTCCTCTACTTCTAAAAAATTAGGTACATGGTTCACATCCTAATGTAGGTGCCATTGATTATTTCAATAATACAATTCTAGAATGTAGCCTATCTGATATTGGTTTTATTCATCCTAGTTTTACTTGGTCCAATGATAAAATTTGGGAAATAATAGATGGAATCCTATTCAATAATGAGTGGTTAGGTATTTTCTCTAATACTTCTATTGATTGAACACCTTAGTAAGAAAGCTTCTAGCCATGCTCCTTTCTTGGATAAAATTATTTTGATTGATAGTAATGGTTTTCATTCTTTTTATTTTCCAAATATGTTGATTCAAGCTCCTAGGTTCTTTAATGTTGTGAAAAATAATTGGATGGCGCATTTATTTTGCTTAGATTATCCTAATGTTATTATTTATTTTTCTTTAAATTTGATATGCCATAAGTAAGTGCTTAAATGGTGAAATAAACATATTTTTGGTAATATTTATGCTAGCGTTCTTAAAGCTGAGGAGGAGGTTATTTGACATGAGAATATTTATGCCTCTGACAATTGTGATGAGAATAAAGATGCCTTAGATAATGATAAAAACTTTCTTTATGATCTTCAAAACAGAGAAGAGGCCTTTTAGAAACAAAAGGCTGCCTCTAAATATGTATTTGAAGTTGAGAGAAATTCCAAATGCTTACATGCTCTCATTAATAAATAAAATTTAGAGCCTTTATCAAAAGAATTAAGATAGAGTTTGGTGTTTGGGCTGATAAATTAGGATAACATATGTGCCTCTGCTATCTCACATATTAAAGGTTTATTAGATGATTATAAGGATGTGATTGATATTCCTAATTCTTATATTATTCTTGCTCTTATTACTAGTGATGATAACTTTAAGTTATCTAATTCTCTTGGTGAGTTCGAAATTTATAACACCATCATGGCTATGAATAGGGCTTTGCTGTACGTCTTGATGGTTTTACTGTTGCATTTTATCAAAATTGTGGGTCAATCATTAATGATGATTTGTGTAGCATCCACTCCCATTTACCCACACACTAGTGGTTGATCATCGTCATCTATATTGATTGGATCATATATATATATATATATGAAATATTCATGTTGTGATTATGCTTAGTCATTTTACCTAACATTCCAAATTATCAAATTAGTTGATCACATCGGTTTGTGAAAAATCGTGAAGGGCCCCATAATAATAATTGATCTTTATACTACTTTTTCTTTGTTTTGTTTTGTTTTTTAAATTTATTTTATGACACCTCTTTATTTGATGGGAACATAGTCTAGCTTATATAAATGCAAATCAATGCCATGAGATTTATGTTAATGGATAAAACAAAATATTTGATAAGAAATACATAAATATTTGAGTGAATGATACTTCATTAATCATCACAATTAGACGCATAGTGCCTATTAAGGTCAGTATCTGTGAAAACCATGTATGAATTGATGTACCTCAAAAGAAAGTAACTCATGTAATTTTTGGAAGACCATAGTTATTTGATAGATATGCCATATATTACAAGTGAGAAAACACATATTATATTGAGTTTAATGATAACACCTTTAAGCTCAATCCATTAACCCAACTATAAAGATATAGATATCTTCTCCTCACAAATTATTCTAAGCACAACCCAACAAACCTAAATTTTACATAAAACCATAAAATCAAAGGACAAAAAATCATATACTTTAATTAAGTATAATTAGATTAATCTCATGTTTTATAATAAAAAATCTTTGGTGGTAATTTAAAGAGACTAATTCTTCTTGCTAGGATAGCCTCACAAACATTTTTTGAATCTATATTTAAATATATAAAAGATATTCAAACCTTCATGAAAACATTAAACACTTATTGGAAATCACTAATGAAAAATACACTAAAATTTTGAATATAAATAAAACCTTTAAGGAGTTTAATGTAGAGGATTATGTGCTAGCAAGAATACATCCTGAGGGGTATCCTTAAACTCTACCTATAATGTTTCAAGCTAGGGCAAGTTGGGTTTATAATGTGGACTATCATATATCATTTAAGAGAGTTATCCAACCTTGAAATATAGAGGATGATTCTTGAAATTAAATAAAATCACTCTTTGTAAGTGACAAACAAACACACATTCATTGAGGTGAATCAAATCCTCACAAATGAAGTATAGTGTAGTCAAGATCTCAAATTTCTTACGAGATAGAGAAAATGATACTTATTCATGAAATTTGGCTTAATAGATGTGATTTGAGGTGATAAACTACATCATGCATGAAATTGACCCCTTAGACCAAAACTCTTCAAATAAGACTTTTTTGTAATTTAGGGGAATTAAAGTAGCACTAAGAATGTCAAAAGCACTATATTAAACTGATGGTCTAACCAAAAGAACTTAGTATATAAAAATTATAACTAAGCATAGTGGACCCATCAATAGGAGAAACTTTTAGCAAATTATATATTTTTTCTACTTAATTATGTAAATGATAAGTTTATTTTATATTGTAATTATATGTGAGTGAGAATTACTATTTATGTTGTGGATTTTTTATGTGTTGAATGGTAAGTAGGAAGTACTTAATTGATTAAA